TCTTTTCATGCTTATCCATTTATCCGGAGTGTTGTGCCCTCTGCTCAAGTGCTTTCATCTTATCAAGTTTCTTATCACTTTTCAACCGGAGTGCTGCCCGAATTTGCTCTTCTTCGTTCCTCTTTTCCGACGGAGTGCTTTCAACTTCGTTCTTCTCTGTTGCTTTCTTTCTTTCAATTTTCTCAACCTAGCAAGGTTCTTTGGTTTCACTCGTTTGTCAAAGAAGCAACTTAGTTTTACCTCTCCTCTTCCTTTTCTGTTTCTCTCCCATGCCATTCTAGATCTCAGGACGAGATCCTCTCGTAGTGGTGGAGTGTTGTAACGCCCCGAGATGGTTGCACCAGGTGTCTTCCTGTTATTCGTTGTTGTTTCATTGTCTTTTGCTTGCGTGTCATGCATTTCATATCATGTCATCATGTGCATCGCATTTGCATACATGTTCGTCTCATGCATCCGAGCATTTTCCCCGTTGTCCGTTTTGCATTCCAGTACTCCTATGTTCTCCGGCGCCCTCCTTTTGCCTCTTTTCGTCTGCGGGTGTTAAACGTTCTCGGATTGGACCGAGACTTGCCAAGCGGCCTTGGTATGCTACCGGTAGACCGCCTGTCAAGTTTCGTGCCATTTGGAGTCCATTTGATACTCCAACGGTTAACCGGGGAACCGTAAAGGCCTCGTGTGTGTTGCAGACCAAAACCCCTCCAAAGTGGCCCAAAACCCATCCAAACTCCCTCCATCCTCTCGGTCATTCGATCACAATCGCGTGGCCGAAAACCGCACCTCATTTGGACTCTCCTAGCTCCCTCTACCTATAAATATGTGTCTCCCTTCGAAATTCTCGCGCACACAAACCCTAGATCCAACTCCCTCCGCGCCGCCGGACATGTCCGTCCACGCCGGACGCGTCCACCGCCCTCAGCCACGTCGTCCGGGACAATCAGCAGTCGCCACATCATCGCCGCCGCCTTCCGCATCCAACCAGCGCGTGCCACCTGTCCACCCGCGCTCCTCTCCACCGCGCGGCCCGAGGAGCCCATCGCGGGCCCACACGGGCCCGGTCGCCGCCGCCACCACCCGCAGGCGCGTGCCCGCACCCGCAGCCGCGCCCGCTCGCCGGAATCGCCACTCGCAGTTGCCGGAATCGCCTTCGACACTCTTGCTGCCGACTGCGCCGCCTCTTGCGCCATGGCCGCCACCCTGCGCCACCTTCCTCCTACGAGCGCCCCGCGAGCGTCCGAGCACCCCGCCGTCCACAGCTCGCCGTGCCCCGCCGTTCCTCGCCGACCCGTGCGCCGTGCCCCGCCGTCGTCCAAGCTCACCGGCTCCCAGGACCTCACCATCGCCGCCATGTACCTCCAGCCAACTCCGCCCGGATCTCGTCGATCTTCACCGCCATCACCTGGATCTGGTCTCCCCTCCAGCGGATCCGCCTCTCCCGCGCCATCCTTTATGTCCCCGACGCCTCGCCAAGCTCGCCGGCGTGCAGCTCCAGCGAGGTCTTTCTTCAACCCCGCGTCGGGATCCCTCCGTCCTGGATCCGCGGGTCCTCCGAACCAAGCGCCCTCGAACACGTCCCACACCGCTCCATCCCGTTGACTTCTAGGAGGGGTATAATTTCGAGTAAGTCCTCAGATCCACATATTATATGCCCCTGTTCATCGCATCATAACTTCTTCACCATTGCTCCGTTTTGCGTGCATGAGATATCAAATTGTTCGTCTGGATGTCCTCTACATTTCATTCCATTGCATCATGCTTGTTTGAGTCCATCTTGATCCCCTAAATGTTGTTGCATGAGTGCTATAAAATGTTAGGTGTTGATTCTTATCAGTTTATGAGCTTTTGTCATTTTTGCCATGATTATTGTGTGCTGCATATGAGCATGAGCTCTACATGTGTTTTGTTATATGCCATGCCATCCTTACAGGGGTGTATGCCATGTATTTTTGTGATCAATGTTGTGAGTAGCACAAGCATGCAAAGTAGCTCTCGTGATGTTGCTGATTTCAGGGACTTAGAATTCTTCTAAGTCATTTCAATGATGTTATTTTTATGCCATGTATTCATGTTGCTACAGAGTGTTCCATGCCTCTTTTGAGCATGTTCAGTAAGGATGATTTTGAGATATTGTTATGTTCTATCCATCCATGTCTTTGTTTACAATTATGGAGTACACTAGCATGACTCAATCTTGCTCTACTTTTGCTATAAAATGTTCCTGGCAGATTGTTTACGTGTTAATCAATTTTGCCGAGGTTGTTGTAGTTGATCCATGCATGCTATGAGATTGTTCTTGCTTTGGTTAGCTTCTTGATCATGTCTTCCTGCTGGTGGTATGCTTAGTTTTTCATGAAGTGCCTTTTGGTGACTGCATCGAGCTCGCAAACATGCCTTCGTAATTCTGTTAATGCCATGTCCAGTTTTCTGCTAAGTCTGAATCTGTTAACGGAACTTGCTATGTTTACATGGTTGCCATTGTACCTTCTGATCCCTTTTGGCTTATGGTCAGTAAGGGACTTTTGTTATATGCTTTGAGTACTTCCATGCCATGCCTTGCTTTGCCATGATATTTTCCTGATGTTAAATCCTGACATGTTATTTTCACAAAGTCTATGAACCTGATATCTTTTGCCCTTTTGCCATGCTTGTTTGAACCTCCTCTTGTGTGATTTAGCCGTAGCTCAGTGTTCATCTTTTGTCAATCATCTTGAGTGGATCACTTCCATGTGCTTTGTTTCTATGTTGGAGGGCAGTAGGTTAGTTTCTTGTTGCATTCTAGATGGCATTGTGCTGTTAATCGCAGATTCGTGTCATTCTTGTTTTGCTTGTCATTTGCAAACCGTGCATTCGATTCCGGTGATCTTTATATCGATTTCGACCGAAATCAACTCATCTTTCCAGCGGCACTCTTGGTTTGCCGAGTTGAGGCATGTTTCAATATTTTCCTTCGGGAGCTCGCATATGCATTGCATAGCACATCCCGCATATCATGCCATGTTTTGCATCATGTTGCTTGCGCATTGCACCATGGTTGATTGTTGTATCCTTTGCTTGTGTTCTTGCCTTGCGTAGAGCCGAGAGATGAGTTCGTGTCCAAGGAAACCGTTGAGTACGCTTATGAGGATCAAGCTTACGTCAACTCGGAGAACTTTGCAGGCAAGATGACCATACCCTCGAAATCACTTCTATCTTTGCTTGCTAGTTGCTCGCTTCTTTGCTATGCCTATGCCGGGATACCTACCACATGCTTTATCATGCCTCCCATATTGCTAAGCCAAGCCTCTAACCCACCTTTCCTAGCAAACCGTTGTTTGGCTATGTTACCGCTTTGCTCAGCCCCACTTATAGCGTTGTTAGTTGCAGGTGAAGATGGAGTTTGTTCCTTGTTGGAACATGATTATTGTTGGGATATCACAATATCTCTTATTTAATTAATGTATCTATATACTTGGTAAAGGGTGGAAGGCTCGGCCTTATGCCTGGTGTATTGTTCCACTCTTAGCGCCCTAGTTTCCATCATACTGGTGTTATGTTCCTTGATTTTGCGTTCCTTACATAGTTGGGTTATAATGGGAACCCCTTGACAGTTCGCCTTGAACAAAACTCCTCCAGCAAGGCCCAACATTGGTTTTACCTTTTGCCACCTAGCCTTTTTCCCTTGGGTTCTGCAGACTCAAGGGTCATCTTTATTTTAACCCCCCCCCCGGGCCAGTGCTTCTCTAAGTGTTAGTCCAACCTGAGCGATGTACGGCGCCCCCTGGGTAACCAGGGTTTATGCCAACCCGACGTCTTGCTCATCCAGTGTGCCCTGAGAATGAGATATGTGCAGCTCCTATCGGGATTTGTCAGCACATCTGGGTGGCTTTGCTGGTTTTGTTTTACCATTGTTGAAATGTCTTGTAACCGAGATTCTGAGTCTGATCAGGTCGTCCTGGGAGAAGGAATATCCTTCGTTGACCGTGAGAGCTTGTGATGGGCTAAGTTGGGACACCCCTGCAGGGTTTTGAACATTCGAAAGCTGTTCCCGCGGTTATGGGCAGATGGGAATTTGTTAATGTTCGGTTGTAGAGAACTTGACACTTAACTTTATTAAAATGCAACAACCGCGTGTGTAGCCGTGATGGTCTCTTTCCGGTGGAGTCCGAGAAGCGAACACGGTGTTGGAGTTATGCTTGAACGTAGGTAGTTTTAGGATCACTTCTAGTTCATGACCGTGCTTTGCCTTCTCTTCTCACTCTCATTTGCGTAAGTTAGCCACCATATATGCTAGTGCTTGTTGTAGCTCCACCTCATACCTTTACCCTACCCATAAGCTTAAATAGTCTTGATTGCGAGGGTGTGAGATTGCTGAGTCCCCGTGACTCACAGATTACTTCAAACAGTTGCAGGTGCCGATGATTACCGTGCAGGTGACGCAACCGAGGTCAAGGAGGAGCTCGATGAAGATCGTGTTCGTTTCTACGTTTCCTTTCTAGACGATCAGTAGTGGAGCCCAGTTGCGGCGATCGGGGATCTAGCATTAGGGGTGGTCTTCTTTTATTTTGGTTCCGTAGTCAGACCTTGTTTGTATCCGGATGATGTAATGCTATATTCATGTATTGTGTGAAGTGGCGATTGTAAGCCAACTCTGTACCTCTTTCTTCTTCAGTACATGGGATGTGTAAAGATTACCCCTCTTTCGACATTGCCTACAATGCGGTTATGCCTCTAAGTCGTGCTCCGACACGTGGGAGATATAGCCACATCGTGGGTGTTACATAAATGACCCAAGTTCTTCATTTATCCTCCCGGTGAAATAATTTCACATCTCCTTGGTGATATCAATCCAATCTTTTGTTTCCGTAGTGGCAGAAGTTTGCCTCAATTTTGAGAAGTTTTCCTTAAGCCCACAACAACCTTATTCTTTTGTTGTTTAATTTTCCAACAACTCCGTTATAACCTTCTTGGAAGGGTGCTCTCCAAGCTCATTTGTGGCAGAAGTTGTCATTTTCTTCTACATTCTTTTATTCCAATGAGCTATCTTCTATTCTTTCTTCCGGAAGCATTGTGATGTTGCTCTCTTCACTCATCATCTCGGATTGTGAGGACCATGTTCTTTTCGTGCTTATCCATTCAACCGGAGTGTCGTGACCTCTTTTCAAGTATCCTTTCATCTTGTCTAGTTCATGTTCAATTCCTTCCATTTACAGTCGAAGTACTGTCCAAATTATATCATTCTTATTCCTTCTCCATCTTGTTTTAAAAGGAGTGTTGTGGCTATCATTCCTCTTCTAACCGGAGTCTCATCCAAGTGCTTTCATTTTGTTAAGTTCATATTCTATGGTTTCCATTTCCAACCGGAGTGTTGTCGTGATTGATCCTTATCGTTCCTTGTACATCTCGTTTCTACCGGAGTGCATGCATGTACTTCTTCTCCATTGTAACCCTTTTCTTATGTCTTTCAACCTACAAGGTTCCCATAATGTTCCTTGTTCCTCTTTTCTAACGGATTGTTTTCAACTTTGTTCATCTTCGTTGTATTCTTTCTTTCAATTTATTCAACCTCTCAAGGTTTGTGGTTTCACTCGTTTGTCCAAGAAGCAACTTTGTTTTACCTCTTCCTCTTCCGTTTCTCCCCGGTGCCATCCTAGATCTCGGGACAAGATCCTCTTGTAGTGGTGGAGTGTTGTAACGCCCCGAGACCGACGCTTCAGAAGACTTCCATATTTTCGTGATCATCGTGTGTTTCATTTGTGCTTGCTCTTTTATTTTTTTAATATTGCATCATGTCATCATGCCATCATGTCATTAATCTTAGCATCTCAACTCAACAAATAAATTGCATAGATGGTTGATCTATTTAAGTCAAGGGTGACTTCTCTTTATATCATATCCTCCCAATATTAGGGAGCTATATTAAATATTCCTTTAATTTGTAATTCACCATAACACACTTGCAAATTATCCCAATGCCTTTGTTATATTAATTCTTGGTCTCCAACCTTGCCATATATTCTTTCATCATATTCCGGAGCTCCACCAAAAATCCGAACATTTTTGGACCTTCCCAAACCTCACTTCCAATTCAAATCATTTGAATTTAAATCAAATGAGTTTGAATTTAATCTTTCAATCTTGGCCATTTATATTTTCTTGGAACCACCGCATTTTTGCGAGTTCGGAAAATTTAACATCTTGCCCAAATTCCTTTCCCTAACCCCCTCTTCCTTTTCCTTCTCTCTAGTGCTTTTCTGTTAAAGAAAAATAGAGAGAGATAGGCAGCCTGCACCGCTGGCCACTTGGGCCTCCGACCAGGCTGGCCCAAACCATCTTCAGTTTCCCATAGCCCAACCCGCACCCTTCCTAACCCTAGCCCGCTCGATCCCTCGCTCTCCTCTCGTTTTCCCTCTCCCTCATCTCCCTCCGCCGCCACACGCATCGCACCAGGGAGAGAGAAGCAGCTGCTCCTCATCCCCGATCCCCTCTACCTCCTTCCTACTCCGTCGTACCAACCCCCCTTCTCCTTCCTGAGGACGCCGCCAGCGCCCCAAGCTCTCCGCCTCCGTGCGGCTAATGCGCCCCACCACTGCTCGAGTCCGAGGGCCCCGCCTCTATCTCCGGCCATCGTCAGCAAGTAGTCCCGTCGGAGCACCTCTTCTCTCGCGCGCTTCTCCTCCTGTTTCTTCTCGTCGCCACCAAGTACCTCGCCGCCGGCAGCAGCTGCTCCACACTCTCCCTGATGCCGCGCCCAGACCTTCCATGTGCCTCGCCTTCAACCTCGGCTTTCGCGTCCCATGGACCCGAGCGCCACCAGCAGCAATTCCTGTTGTCCCCATCGCCAAGTTCCTCGCCACCCTTCCTCACCTCATCCCCGGCCCTTCTCATCGGAGCCACGCCTCCCGATGCCCGCAGCTGCATCGCCGGTCTTCTGCCTCGACCCTTCATCTTTCCATTTGCCAACCGAATAGGTGCAGCGCCACAAGTTTTGCCTCTACACACCCGTGTGATGTTGACCGTGGAGTTCCACCAGCTGCTAGCATCACTCCGTTGCTTCCTCCCTGACTGATTTCGCCAAGTGCCTTCTGGCATGACCAAGACCGCGAGCACCACAGATCCGCCAAGTACCTCGACGCCCGATGCCTAAAACAACCACCGAACCGGAAATAATGCCAAGTACTAGGTCAACGAGGACTGCCAAGTTCGTCTTCCGCCGTCTCCGAAATCGCCAAGTACCATGACGATATGAGAACAACTACCGTCGACATGCATTTTGCAAAGTACCACTACCGTCGACCCTCAAAGACTCCATGGACGTCAAGTTTCTCGCCGTGACCCCAAACATCTACGGAAACTTGTGAGACTAAGAACGTGAACGACTATCGTCGCCAAGATCGCTAGTACCACTACCGTCGCCACAAGAACGTCTACTTCCTCTACATTGCACTGAACCCGAACCGTCCCGTTTGCACCCTTTGAAGGTATAACCGTCGGGACTACGCCCATGGACCAAATACATGTGGGATGTATGAGATGAACCCCGCTTTCGCACCGTGTCCGAAATTGTACCTTGCATGTTCCTCGTCGTTGCCATGCCGTCCACCCGTGGGAACCTGGTATCCGGGAGCACCCCACCATCTTTTGCACACTCCGCACACTTCTCTTTTGCATCGGTATCTCAATCGAGCTACCGGAACCGATATGTTGAGGTGGCACCATTTCTTTCCTCCATGGGGACAAATGCCTCGTATCATATTATACCAACATTTTGATAAAACTTCCATATGTCATCCACATCATGATAACAACATCAAGAATGTTTAAATTGTTGTTGCATTAAATTGCTAATGCATATGAGGATTTTTCGGGAAATGTTGTTGTTGTTTCCGGCCTCATTTAAACTTGCTTAAATGTGTAGTTTTCACATGCTTCACCTTCTTGCCATGTTTAACAACATTTAATATTGTTGGGCACATAAACAGGAGAGAACTAAATAAATGAATGTGGTGTTTCGTCAATATGCAACTCGCTGCATATTGAGCTCCACTTAATTTGTAGTATTGTTTGTGCACTTTGCCATGCCATGCCTCATTAAACCGGACATGCATCATGCCATGCTTATGTGATGGTTGTTTACTATGTTGTTTGCTTCTTTCTGGGTTGCTTCTCTCGTTAGCTTCGGTTTCGTTCCGGAGTTGTGAGGATCCATTCGACTACGTCCATTTGTCTTCTTCGTGCACTTGTTCTTCTTCCTTGAGGGATCTCAGGCAAGATGACCATACCCTCGAAATCACTTCTATCTTTACTTGCTAGTTGTTCGCTCTATCGCTATGTCACACTACCTACCACTTGCTTATCATGCCTCCCATATTGCCATGTCAAGGCTCTAACTCACCTTCCTAGCAAACCGTTGTTTGGCTATGTTACCACTTTTGGTCAGCCCCTCTTATAATGTTGCAAGTTGCAGGTGAAGTTGAAGTTTGTTCCATGTTGGTAAAGGGTGGAAGGCTCGTCCTTATTCCTGATGTTTTGTTCCACTCTTTCCGCCCTAGTTTCTGTCATACCGGTGTTATGTTCCTTGATTTTGCGTTCGTTACACGGTTGGGTTATAATGGGAACCCCTTGACAGTTCGCCTTGAATAAAACTCCTCCAGCAAGGCCCAACATTAGTTCTACATTTTCCTAACAAGCTATTACCCTTCCCTTGGGTCGGCCAACCCAAGGGTCATTTTTATTTTAACCCCCCAGGCGAGTGCTTCTTTAAGTGTTGGTCAGAACCGGGCAGCCTGCGGGGCCACCTCGGGGCAACTTGAGGGCTGGTTTTACTCGTAGCTTGACCTATCCAGTGTTGCCCTGAGAATGTGATATGTGCAGATCCCATCGGGATTGTCGGCACATCGGGCGGCTTTGCTGGTCTTGTTTTACCGTTGTCGAAATGTCTTGTAACCGGGATTCCGAGACCGACCGGGTCTTCCCGGGAGAAGGAATATCCTTCGTTGACCGCCAGAGCTTGTGATGGGCTAAGTTGGGACACCCCTGCAGGGTATAAACTTTCAAGAGCCCTGCCCGCGGTTATGTACAGATGGGAATTTGTTAATGTCCGGTTGTAGAGAATTTGACACTTTACTCAATTAAAATGCATCAACTGTGTGAGTAGCCGTGATGGTCTCTTTTCGGCGGAGTCCGGGAAGTGAACACGGTCTTGTGTTATTCTTGAATGTAAGTAGTTTCAGGATCACTTCTTGATCATTTCTAGCTTCTCGACTGTTGCATTGCTTCTCTTCTCGTTCTTATTTGCATATGTTAGCCACCATACTTGTTAGCGCTTGCTGCAGCTCCACCTCATTACCTTACCCTACCCATAAGCTTAAATAGTCTTGATCTCGCGGGTGTGAGATTGCAGAGTCCTCGTGACTCACATATACTTCCAAACAGTTGCAGGTGCCGAGGATACCAGTGCAGGTGACGCAACCGAGCTCAAGTGGGAGCTCGATGAAGATCTTGGTTGTTGTTATGTGTCTTTTCCAAATGATCGGTGGTGGTGCCCAGTTGGGACGATCGGGGGTCTAGCATTTGGGGTGGTCTTCTTTTATTTTGCTTCCATAGTCGGACCTTGATTGTACTCTGGATGATGTATGTTTAACTTGTAATTTGTGTGAAGTGGCGATTGTAAGCCAACTCTTTATCCCTTTCTTATTCAGTACATGGGATTGTGTGAAGATTACCCCACTTGTGACTAAACCACCATGCGGTTATGCCACTAAGTCGTGCCTCGACATGTGGGAGATATAGCCGCATCGTGGGTGTTACAAAGTGGGTCACATAACCCCAACTGTGTTAGGAACGCAAAATCAAGGAACATAACACCGGTATGACGGAAACTAGGACGGCAAGAGTGGAACAAAACAACGAGAAAAAGGCCAAGCCTTCCACCCTTTGCCAAATAAATAGATGCATTAATTAAACAATAGATATAGTGATATCCCAACATATCCATGTTCCAACATGGAACAACTAGCAATGCTATAAGAGGGGCTGAGCAAAAGCCGTAACATAGCCAAACAACTGTTTGCTAGGAAGGTGGGTTAGAGGCTTGACATGGCAATATGGGAGGCATGAAAAACAAGTGGTAGGTAGCGCGCCATAGCGATAGAACGAACAACTAGCAAGCAAAGATAGATGTGATATCAAGGGTAATGGTCATCTTGCCTGAGATCCCGCAAGGAAGAAGAACGAGTTCATGAAGAAGGTAAACGGACGTAGTCGAACGAATCCTCACAACTCCGGAACGAAACCAAAGCTAACGAGAGAAGCAAACCGGAAAGAAGCAAGCAACATGGTAAACGCACAAGCATAAACATGGCATGATGCACAACCAAGGATGATGCATGTCCGGTTTACATATGCATGGCATGGCAAAGTGCACAAATAAAACTACAAGTTAAGTGGAGCTCAATATGCTACGTGATGCATATTGACAAAACACCACATGACTTATTTAGTTCTCTCTCGGTTATGTACCCAACAATATTAATGTTGTTAAACATGGCAAGAGGTGAAGCATAAATAAACTAACTATTTAGGCAAGTTTAAATGAGGCCGGAAATAACAAACAATAATTCCAGAAAATCCTTATGTGCATATTTTGAATTTGGTATTGTTCTACCCAAAGCCATATTTTAGAGTTGCTAAACATGCAAAGTAAGCGCACCAAGTTAATCTATGCATTTTTCTACCCCATTTACATATAAAAGTTTATTAAAATTGGAGCTACGGTTATTTAGTTATGAAATAAACCATTTTAACATGGCATATGAGCAAATTGGAACAAACAACATTTTAAACATTTTAAACATCGATGAAAGTAGCATATTCTGGAACTAGATGAAATTCTAAGCATTTTTCATGTACAACTTATTTTAATCCGATGCATAAATCATGAGTTATTATATGCATGAAATGCAATGATTTTTCTGCACAACTGTAAAACACTGGAATAATAACTAAATATTTCCGTGGAAAAAAACATGACATGGGCCGAATCAACAGGCTTGCCACACAGGTGTAGGGGCGCTATAGGCTCACCATGGGCCTTGGCCCGTTCAATGGATAGGGGAGGCAGGGGAAGTAGGACTGGAGACATGCTGGGCCTTGGCTGGGTACTGGGCCGAGGCGCGGGGAGGTGACCCACACACGAAAACATGATGGTGCGTGCGCCCGCACGCACATAGGGTCGAGGAAGGCCGCGCTGACGGGGTCTCCGGCAACGGGATGGAGCTCCGGCGAGCTGATGACGGCGGGGGCAGGCCGGACTGGGCGGATCCGACGGCCTGACGGCATGCTCGACGTGGTGCTCGAGGTTGGCGGCCATGGATGTCCCTATTCATGGCGGCAGAGAGAGAGAGAGATGTGAGAGGAAGGAGGAGAAGGGGATGGGCAGGGAAGGAGGAGTAGGGCGGCGGGGTCCGGCCTGGGAGGTCCTCTACCGGAGCTCGACGGCTATGATGTCTCCGGTGGCGGGGTCGGCGAGGTGCGAGGGGACCTACGGGCGACGGAGTCCATGATCTAGATCGGGATCAAGCGCGAGGCTACAGTCGCGGGCAGAGGCGCGGTTCCAAGCCAGGGCGGGCCTCGCGCGGGCTCCGTGGGCTGCGGCGAAAGCGGGAGCTAAGCAGGGGCGCGGGTGAGGTGGCGGGTACACATGGCAGTTCCGGAGTGGTGGAGGGCGGCGCTGGGGGCTGAGGTGGCGCGAGTGGGTTGGTGGGGAGCGTTCGGCCGGTGGTGGTTGGGTCGTTGGGCAGCACCAAGTGGCAAGGTGGGAGCGGGCCAGCACGGAATGCGAGGAGGCGCGGCGGCTGCAGGTTAGGGGATGGGCTAGGCTAGGTTTA